ATTTAAACGTGCTATAACAAGTGTAGACTTTCGTATCCTACTTATCGAATTGCGCAACCCTTTGTATTTGTATATATGAAAATTGATTAATACCGTGTAGCATCGGGTTTACGTGGCATCAATGAGCCTTAAAAGCTGCGGCAGCACAGTTCCTCCGCGAGATCATATAACAATTACCGAACGCTTTAATGCAGCAAAGAGCAATTAATCATGAGTGACGTAATGAAGCCAACGTGTGTCAGATCCAACGCAATCCTTCGCTATGTTGTATACTCTCCTAACGCCAGACACTCCTAAATAACTCCTAGAATAACGAGCTTTATTAAAAAAAAAAAAGAGCGAACTCCTAGATTTCAGACTGCTTAGGTCACCGATCAGTTTCGTCGAGGCCAGAGGACTCGATCGTACGTCCGTCTTTCACACACATCCGGAGAACACGGCGAGACCAACCAAAAATGGAAGAAGTCCAACGAAAAAAAAAAAAAGGGGGACAAGATGTGGCGTGGCGAGGCGGGAGAGGACTCTCTTCTCTTCGATGTAACGTTGGAGAATTCGAGGCAGTCGTTAGTATGCTAATGAGTGTCCCTCGTTTCTCGGTTCGCTCCCGTAACGCGCGGCCCGGTAAATTATTTCAAATATTTCCCGAACTCTCTCTCCCCCCTCGGACCTACGCCCAGCGCGCGTGAGAATGGAGCACGTCTACGTCGGAGGCACACGCGAGGCGCTCTCTTATGTCGAAACGAAGGTAAGGTATAAGTAAAAAGAAGCGGGAGATAGATCGAGCGCGATTTGTCGTGGCTCGCTCGACAATGTCAAAGTTGACCCTCGTTTTTTCTCCTTTCACTGGAACTATAAATGGAAAAGCGGAATTCTTTATGAACGCGCGAAGTTGTCACTGCTTCTACAACCTTCTTCCACCCATGAGACTCATTTTTTCTACGGTCTCGACGATGTTGGCGAACGCTAGAGAGCTGTCCAAGTGTCACGAGTCGAAGTTTCGCGTTTCTTTTGCTTACGGTCGGTTGTTTCGATGTGTTTTCACGTTTCAACGGGGTTCGATTAGTCTGGAGGAGTTTTTCCTTTGAAACGTATACGCATTGAGAAGGTAGAAGTTGTTTTAGAGAGACGTAAGTATTGGTGTACTATTGTTTCTATTTTCACAACGATACGTTGTGTAATTATGTGGAAATGGAATAGAGAAGTTAGCTAAGACAATTACTTATTGAGAAACATTTGCATGGGCTGCTATTCTACTCGATATCCTTACACCTATCTTTTCACAATGTTTTTATACTAAATTTTAGCAAATTATGGAGCTACCTCCCTTCTACGACAAAGTCTTTAATTTTAATCCAGTAAATTAACCCACCACTGAACCCCTTGTTAATCTTTCGAAAAGTGTAATATTGTTTAATTATCTTCTTTCGCCTTCCACAGCGAAAATGTAAGTTACAGCATTATAAATAAATAGGATACTTATTTCTACACGCCTAGGAATTCGTTGAAAGAAAATAAAATCGATCCTTTTTGGAGCGTCAAGTTGATAAAAATGTGAGCGTCAAAGGGTTAAACCCCTAAACTGGCGGAACAATCGAAGCACGCGAGGAAGTGAACTAAAAGATGGCGACGTATGGATGAAAGATCGGTCGCCAAGGTGAATACCTTTAATTCTCACCTCTGGACTTTCGTGGCGGCTCTCGATATCAGGGGGCCGATGGCGCCGTTATATATCCCAGCGATAACATCGAAAACGCCGTGAGAGCAACGGCTCCAGCCACGGTGTTGGCTCGGAGGGCAGCTTGTAGCATGGCTGCCGCGTGAGTACACGGGCCCACGATGATAATATTAATTCCCCGTACAGGCGTATCGTCTTTCATGCGATCCCGCGGCGGCGATCCGCGATCATTAATTAAACATTCAATTCGTATGAGAAATTTTCGCGATCGACCCGGCCTCTCGTATCGCCCCAGGGTACGCGCGGCTTGATCGATGCCGGATCAGGGGCGGGAAAAAGGTCCCGGGAACGGGGCGAACGGCGATTTGTCCTCCTAACGGGAACTACGGGTCGAGTGAAAAAAAGTCGCCTGCGTTCGCTCGTCTCGCGAATGCGAAGGAGATCGTACGAAGATGAGATACTTAACCCTTTCCAGCCCAAATTGTGGAGGCTTCGTTAAACAACATGTTTTTTTTCATCAGTTTTCGTGTTTAGATATCTCCAATAACACGTGAAAATTAATTTCGTAAATTGATTTTGCAAGTAACGAAAAAAAGTTCAATTTAGAAAACTTTTTATTAAAGAATTTCGATACACTGAGCTGGAAAGGGTTAACACCAGTGTGTCGCATTGTGATTTGGAGAATTTGAAACAAGAGGCACTTGGACATCTCTTATCTTATAATATTTAACAATGTATTTCTTGCATTATGATCAAGACACAGCAAAGAGAAATTAGAAAAAGAAGTTCAAATTCAATGTAACTGTGCGTTCTAATATTTTACCATATAACCTTTCTAAATTTCAACCTTTGCTAATTTATAAAACTGAAGATCCGCACGTAGGTATATACAAATTATATTCTACAGCTGACACAGTTTTAAGACAACGAGCAATTAACCCCAATTCATCCACTAATTTAATTTTCTCCTACAATCATAACATGTAGCATTAATTCCTAGTATAGCAAGACTGTATACAAACGGTGTCCAGCAATTGCCCAACAGCAACCGTGAAAGCAACCAGTTCCAAAAACCAGACCCGATCCCCGGAACCAAGAGCTCGATCAGAAAACCACTAATAAACACGTAAGCGTCGTTGTCTTATCGCTGTGGCATCCAAGAGGGAACGAGGGCGAGAAAACCGTAAGGGAAGGGGGAGAGGGGAAGGAGTCCGATGGTAACAGGTCGGGCGAAGAGAGAAAAGGCTGATCGCGTATACAAGAAGGGGCTTTGAAAGCCCACCGATAGGTATCCACACATAAATCCGTATCACGTGTAGGCCGTATTTTCCCCGGTTCGTTCGATCCTAGAGGAGATCCCGCAAAGAGGAAGGAGAAAGAGGGAGAGTCTAATTTACCTAAAACGCGTTATCTGTTGGCTCGGTCTCCGGGAAACCGAACGCACGCGGCACAAAGCCGAGACATCCGTGGCCCCGTGGTTGCCTTAATGAGGTCCAATTACTATCGGATGGGTCACTTAGTATGCGGTACCGATATTCCACGGTGCACCACATTAGTGGGACGAGAGAGAGAGAGAAGAGAAGGGGAGACGAGAAGAGCAAGGGTCAACACCCTTCGGCCAAGCAGAGAGAACACGGCCTAACGAGAGAGACTCAGAGAGAGGCTCATCCTGTCGTCTGTTCGACTCTCGTACGCGTTGCCGCGCGCACGTGCGCCGCGGAATCCGCCGATTGAATATTATTTGCGTCCTTATCGATCGCTGCCGCCGCGGGAACGTCGAAGGACATCGCGATGAAAGCGCGGTCCCCGCTTTGCCGTTCCTATTGCTACCTGACGTCTGAACGTGGCCGCTTGTCGTCGAATCTCTACGCGAGGGGAGGATTTTTCTGGCTGCACACAGGGGGGATTAGAGGAGGGATTAGATTCCGATCCAACGAAGAAAAGATCGATATGAGAGATACGCAGGATGATCATTTTCGAATGAGACGTTTGTTCGATGGTTTGTTTCACGCTACGCGTTTATAATCGTGACCAGTTTTTCCATGTTTCGATCGTCGAGTTGCGATCACGGAGGAAATGCTTCATTCTGTTCTAACTGTTCACCGCGACGTCTCCGATAACGTATACTCTTCGGTCGGAGAGACCTTTTTTTACGAATTAATTCAGACGGTTGAAACTTGGTTCCCTTCTCGGTTCCACGCGCGAGGTCGCACTAACTTTTCCCCGGTGTTACGACGCCGTTCTTTCTGCCGATTTACGAGCCTTTCCCCGGCGGAAAATTATTTATTGAAAATAAAACGCCGCGTTGGACGCACGCGATTAGCATATTGAACGAAATCTTGGACGTTTATGCCTACCCGAAATAGGGAAGGACGCGAGGTTCGCGGATAAATTTCCCCCCTTCGTTCACCTGTCCTCCTGCTTTCGAAATTTTCAACTTTGCTCTCGCGCTACTCGACATGCTGTTCTTCTGCTTTGGTACGATTTTTTAAACGTTCGCTTCGAAGAACATCGGGAATAGCCAGAGAAGATAATTGTTTAAAAAATTTGAATCGTTGAAATTATCGGGCAAAATGTGACAGAGGCTTAGCACCGTGTATCTTGAACGAAAATTTTAAACGCCGATTTAATGCTTCAATTTACAACCTCGCTGTATCGCTTCCAGCAACTATACACCGGCGCGTCTCCGCCATGTGTCACGATTTCTAAGACAATCGTCGCTGTACCTACGAAACCGTCCCCGAAGGAGGACGATCTGAGATAATCGATTAGCCACGCTTGATTCTCCCGTCCACTTACGGATTCGAGTCGGGCGAGTGTTTTTCGCGTCCATCGGGATGGGGCTTTCTCACCTTCCTCGCCGATAGTTTGACGCGTACGTGCCTGTTGTTCACTGTCTCGATTCGCCACGGCTTATTAAACTTCCCGCCTTTTTAAATCGGAGTGAACGCGCGAGACAGACGCGAGAACTCGTTGGCTCCGAGGCACACGGAAAGCGCGCACCATCGTCTCGATTTTTCAGCCGGTGATTTCAACGAGTGGGTGGACGGGATCGCGCGCGAAACTTCCACTGGTCGTTAATTAAATTTGCTTATTCGTTAGATTGATGCTCGAGATACTCCTACCAACACGTTCGATTCTTCTCGAAAAATGTTTCACGCGGTGATGAAAAACGAAAAAGAAAATGAAAGAAAGTAATCCAGCGGATGATAAAGGAGCGATATATAACGATCAAGCTCCCGTGTCTAACGCATTCCTCGGGCTCTTCAATAGTGTAAACTATCGCACAATACGTGTCCAAACGATGATTAAATAGATCCCTTACCTTGCAACCCTCGCACGTGAACGCTCCGAAATGAAAACCGGCCGCCGGCTCGCCGCAGACCTTGCACTGTTGGTTCATCTGCAATTATAGAAATTATGTTATTCGAAGGATAGCGGTGCGTCAGTCGGTTAGTCCGGCTCATCCTTGGGCGAGATAAAGAGACGAGGAGCCAGCCAAGTCGTACAGATAGGGGAGGAGGAAAAGGAGGCGAAGATGGTACCAGAAGGATGAAGAAGGAAGACTGCATAAAGGATTCCTCCCACAATATCTTACGGATGTTCGAATGCTATTTGGATTACCGGGAAGAGGAGAGGTTGAAAAATTATTCTCTCCCTCCTGCGAGCCGCTTTCTTTACGACCATTATCGCCCCTGACACGGTTCAACGTTGCGCTAATGCTTCAGGCATCCTCCACTCACGACCAACGATCGATTTCGTTCGCGTTCTCATCGCCGCGCCGTCTTAGCTGTCTTCATTCCCGCATTGTTTCGTTCGACGTGATCTTTGCACTCCGCCTCGAGTGCAGTTTACACTCGCTCGGTTGGACCGCGGCCGCGTTCCGCGTTTTCTCCCGTGGTCTATTGTCGCTGTCTATTAATAAACCGTGAGCGTAATTCGCCGTAAGATTGACGGAGGACCATTAAGAGCTTTTCCTCGGCTCGACACGAATCGAAGTGTGTTCGCCCTTTTTTCTCTTCTTCTTTCTTTCCTCTTTTTATCCTCCGTGGCTGCTGACTTGCTTCGCTTGTGCCTGAAGACGTCGGAGAGAGAAGCTCGTGTGGCTGTTGGTTTGCCACGGTGATCATAAATCAGCGCTATCTCGGTAAAAGCCATCGCCATCTGTCCGGCGGGTCGGTGTCAGGGCGATGGTCGCGTTTCTCGGGTAAAACTGGAATAAAATTAGACCATCGATGATCCGATAAGGGAAGCTCACCTAGAGGGGCCTCGAACGCACCTGGCTTCCTCTAATGTCCTGCCCAACGCGTTTATCTTGGCCAAAGATGGGCCTGGCTCAAATCATTCGAACGCGACGCGACGCCGAGACCTTGCGAAACACCGAACCGAGCGTTTTCTAATATGCCGCTCGGAAAGGACACTTAATTGCATAATTGTGGTGGCTTTTTGAAATTCAACTGGGCACTCGGCGAGGTTTCCACTTTTAGCCAAGCGGAGTCAGGTTTCACGGGAAACCGTCTGCGCGCTTTGCTGAAAAAATGACCGGATTCGACGAGGTCTCCGGTGACAGCCTCTAAACTATCAATCTGTTAGGCTGTCGTGGATTAAGTGATCGAGGTGTTGATGAAACTTTCAGCTTGTATCGGTTTAGTGAAAACAGAATATTTATCGATCTACTTGTGCCGTACGAGGTTACTTATGCCTTTCTTTGAAAAGAGAAATTTAACAATAATTTAGTTTTGGAGAAAATCAATTTTTGTCGCTTGCGACGAAAAGCGCTGGCTGTTTACTGGATGAAACAGTTATTATCTTAGTTTCATTAGAGTTAAATCTCTGGTGCATTCTGTTACTGTCTGACTTTCAGTCGACAGCGACACTTTATTCATAAAGTGCGAAAATAAATGAATAAACTGTGTATTAGACGGGCGTATGTGTACGCTCTTCGTGAATAAGCGACTACTTTTACAAAACGTTATATACGCCTGTTTTTATCGAAAGAGTTAACACTTCCTAGAGTTTCTAACTCTTTACTCGCTATTTTCTCCTCGTGGAATGCCAGGATCGTTCTAATGTCAGCAGCAATTACGTATAATTACACTTGCAACATTGTGACGTTGTTATCTCGGTATCTAAAAATCCGAACTTTCAATTCCCGATGAACCTTCGATAAGAGAATAAAGAAACACCGGATTGTAATAACTTCTCGATCGTGAAGGGTGGCGATCTTTGTAAAGATGCGTTTTTACGAACGGCTCGTCTTAACGAGAATTCAAAGTGACTGTAATTAGAGCCGAGCCGCGACACGAGCCGCTTCTAATCGGCCGTTCGCGATTGTTCTCTTAAAGGAAAGGAGCTGGCGCCTGCGAACGGTAGGCCTCTCGCGTTAACCGGCTAACAGAGAGACAGAGAAACGCTGGAAGGCAGAGAGGCGAAGGAGGGAGGAGACCGGTGAAAGAGAGAAAGAGAAAAAGAAGAGTTGACTCGCAGGTTCGTTAAGGTTTCCAAGTTTTTTCCCGACGCAGTTGTTTGACGCCCGCTCTTTCTTTCATTCCGCTTGCTGATGAGCCGAGACCATCCTCTTTTCCCTCTTCCAACGCGGAGAAACGGACAGCGCTATAGATGTCTCCTCTCCCCCCTCCCCCCTTTCTCCCCTTCTTTTTCCTTCTTCGCTTCTCTCCTGACCGCTTGAGCCACGACAATGACCTACTCGCCACGTTCGTTTGAAGACTTTTAAGTCCGAGCAGCGGAAGTTGTCGGATTCTAATGCGTTCTTCGAGGTAATTAGTGGATTTTCTTACTGTGGCGAGCAGCGACAGGAACACTTTGACTCGCCTTTGCGCTTCGGATATGAGTCGATATTCCGAACTCTTCGAAGTCTCGATAAGTTTTGAATTTCATGTCTTTAAAGTTTCAACACGCCTTGAAAATCTTGAATATCGAAAAATTTCGAACCGCTTCGAAAGTTAGCTTCAAACGCCCGTCATAATTAGTGAGTTTACTCAAGCAAGATTTCAGTTCAAAATTTCCTATCTCTTCGTACAAATTCGAGCAATAGCGTCGAATTAATTAGCGTCGCTTAATTAACAGACATATCAAAAAGTAAGACGCGACGAGAAAGAGCGACTATGTAACGGATTATTTATAACGCAGCTGATGATATAAAGTACGATGCACCTGACGACTAACGCGTTAAAACCTGCAATACATTATACAGCGTAAAGGTTGCATGCTTCAACCAGAGAAAGAGAGAGAGACCTACCCTCCTTGACCACACAGTTTAACTATATACATTTCATTGAACCATATAACATTCCTCTTCGTCAACCTTTCCTACCACTTACCATTACCACTACCTACAAGCAGAAAAAAAAAATCCACTGGAAGTCGAATTCAATACCCACGCCAGAGACATTTTCTTTCCAATCTGAATGGCAATATCGCACGATTGCTCAAATATAAATCACCGATTTCGACGAATGCATGTAATCCAAGCAGAATTTCCCTAATTCCAAAAACACCGCGAACCCTGACATTTGAAACGCTTGGAGCAACGAAATCGAAACACACAGTTCTACGGCCGTAATTCCCATTTGAACGCGGGCAGAAAACAGCGAGCGAGAAACGCGTGAGAATACTCGCGGTAGAGCTTTCGGGTTGGTAGAGCCGGCGAGAGCGGAGTTCTGTCCTTCTCTATCGTCGCTGTTTAAAAACGGTGGGAGGGACAAGGAGGAGGAAAGGTTAAGCGGTGCAAAAACGGGGCGCGGAGCTAATATCGGGACGTGTTGTTTCCATCGATGCGCAACCGCGTGAGGAATATTCGCGGCGCGGCGTGCACGCAGCCCGACGTTGATTAACAGTGGTCTCGCGATTAACAGTAAATCACAGAGCGCATCGATTCAGCCTTCTCGTAACCGTATCCGTGGCCCGTAACCGATCGGTGACTATAACCAGCGAACGGTACCATTTAAGTAGCCGAGCCTATTGATTTTACAAAGGATCTGGACGCGCGTGCACGGACCGATATCGATTCCGATCCCACGAACAGGCCCGCATTCGGGCCAAGGCTCGGTGCAAGCCTACCGAGCCACGCACGCCGGCCAATTTCAACGATCTAGACGGGCAACATTTATCAAGGGGCCGTTGCTTCGTGAATTTTTTATTGTGATTTTATACTTTCGGTTTTCTGGAAATTTTTATTTTTCAGAATATGTCAATTCGGTACAATGTTTCTTCGAGTATCTTTGTTAAGTGTTTAAATCTTCTTATCTGATTTTTAATAAAGGATCGTAGGTGGTTTAGTTTTGGATGATTGTGGTAATTTTGTGGAACGGTAGAAATAGACACAAGGTGATTTCTTGCGAAAAATAAACTCACGTTATGCGAGTCTTCGGTTTCTAGAAAATTGACTTTCAAAGTTCAATAGAAAAGTCCTTTCAAAAGGACTGCAATTGATAGAACACGATCTAAGAATCCTCACCGAGTCCTACTCCGAATGTTCAAACTCCAATTTCCCCGAAAAACGAACGCTCCATCTGCACCCAAAAATCTACGATTATTTCCCAAACTCCAATATTTATCGAATATAATATTCATTTGGTAGCCCCGCCGTGGGTATTCCATGGAAAACGATCGCTCCACCTTCCGTGAAATTTCTTCCCATGCTAAGCATTCCGGTTGCCGTGGAGAGCTCCGAGCGGTTTCGAGCTCCACTTCGTCCTGGAGACGCTTATCACGGGCACGAAGCATCAGATAACGCGCGAACTACCAGCCAAGGAGCGTTCCCGTGCATTGATATGCAAAAATACTCGAAGCAGGCCGGCCGTGGATACGAGCAACAAGACCAACTCCATAATCTGCCCATCGACGTCTCATTGGTCCCGGCGGATGTTGCACAAAGGCGAATGCTCAAAGGAGGAGCTCACCGCCTCGTGTACACACGTGCACCTGGTACCCTAGTTTCCACGAGGAGAGTCAATATTTGCCTGGCACTCGTTCGTTAATGAAGTCGATCGACCTGCTCCAAATATCGGCTTACAGTCGTTCTCGTCGTCGTCGAGTCAGCTCGTCGAAACTCGTGCAGCGAAGTGAACGCGGCAACGATCACGAGAAAAGGACGGAATAAGGGGTCAGGAACGAGGGAGAGATCTCCCCTCCTGTCATCGTCCTCTCGAATCTCGTCCTGCCTCGAACCACGCGCGTCCAGGGGCACGTCGAACGTTTACGCGCCATTAAACTCGAGTCCCGTGTGACGTTTATCCCTTTATGATCGTTTTTTCTACCGACCATCCCTTCGCTGACTCCCGGTATTGTACTCTAACCCTGAGGCGACGAGGCAACCCTTTCCCTTGGACGACTTCTTGCCAGTTTTTTCCTGGCGGTAGAGAGGAGAAGGAAGATGTACAG